AGCTGTTTCTGAGAACTGAAATGAAAGATGTCTTCTTTCAAAAATTGTTTTCCTGTACCCCACAGAATGTACCCAACTCAGGATATGGTGGTGGTCGTGGTGAGCTACATCCTGGGTTTGAGTACATTCATGGGTCTACACGACTTTAAAATAGATTATCACCCCCACTCAGTAAAACTTAGGATATGGTTGTCCAACACTTGTTCAGATCCAAGATGTGATTAAGCTAACTGCTTTCTTTAGCCTCTGTAACTTGCTTGCTTGCATGATGCTGAGAAAAGCCCCTGAGTTGGGTTTTTTTTTTTTTTTTCATCCTTAAATTCCCAAGACACAGGCCAGGAAATTGTGGTTCTCCGACAGAGCATCTGTCTCTATGGGTGGGAGACAGTCCCTGGCCAGGTAAATAAAGCTCTCTTTTGTTTGAATTAGGACTTAACATCTTTTCTGAGGCAGCTCCCCAAAACAATAAGAGAAGAAGTGTCTTTTTAAATCCAAACTGCTTGGCTGGCTATCTTATCTGTTTTCAGCTGGCTTTCTTGACTAGTTCCTCTCTAATGTTACAGGAAATAAAGACAAAAATAGATACCAAATGTATAAGCTTTCTTTTTAAAATTTTTTTTTGTTTTGAGAATTTCACAGGTTTCCACATTGTTTATATCTGAACTAACTTATATCTGAGCTAAAAGTACACTCTGACCTGATGAAGAAGTTAGTATGGTGGCTATTTAAGTTTTTTTTTTTAATATTCTGTGTTAGTTAATGTATTTTTCTGATCAGTCTTATTTTATCTAACTCTAAAGGTTTTTACATTCTGTCTTTGTCCAAAGGCCAATTTCTCCAGGGTTAACCCTCAAATATATTCAAAAAATTTCTTTTAATAAATGCTTAGGAGAATATAAACATGGTGATGATGGGAATAAATCTGATAGCCATCAGGGACAAATAGCCAGCTATCTAAAACCTTTGGTTTAAGTGTCCATCATGGCTATTAGATTTTATACCTGGCATTTCCAATTATACAGGCCTATTGTCTATATATTATGTACTTGGTATAAAACTGGCATTTAAACAAATTAGCACTCATGAATTAAAATTTAAACAAGTAAATGGAGCCAAATAATTCAATTCAAATCAATTAATTACATAAAAATATAGATGTCTTTAAAATTCTAACTCTCAAATTTTTCTAGATGGCCAGGCAATAAAATATTTATTTCTAAAAAATGTCTAAAATGTAATATAACATCCCTTGCTTCGAAAATTTTTCAACAGAGAAGAGATAATTAATATTGCTAATCACATTTTTCTGATAGTCTTATTTTATGATTAAAATAAGTAAATTAAATTTAAAATAATTGGGATAAATCATCATCAATATAGTTTCTTAAATAAATTAGAAATTACAACTGACACCCAACTACTTTCTCCTTTTTCTTTCCAATTGTTAAACAACAGGATACTGCCTCAAATCTCTCCACAGCAAGCTGAATTAACTGCCATTATCCTGGCTCTGGGATAAATATCTACTACTTTAAACATTGTTACAGATTTTTAATATACGGCTAAACCTGTCCCTTATATTTCTGTAGCTGTGTTATCCCCTCCTTTGGATTCCAATTTACTCTCTTTTTTTTTTAACCCTTCAAACTCTTTCACTGCATCATATGTCCCACATCTTTCTTGCTCATATACATAGCCACACCAAGATTCCTGGACATCTGACAGAGAATAACACCCACACAGATACACTGTGAGATCCCTTTATCCTTTATTTTCAGATGCTGTAAAATCTCATGGATTTTTCATCAAAATGCACAATCACTAAAGAAGATTTTTCCATTTCTTCCCAACAAGCTCATGCTATTATCATTAACTGTTCTCACTGTACACCCTTCTGGGCCCTTATGTGGGAATCTGAAAATCCATGAAGCCTACATTCTAATGCACTTTGGCAAATGCATGTTACCCATTTCCCTCCTTTTCATCCTTACTTCTTTCTTCATATTTCCACTGATACTCATTCTGGGTTTACCTGGGCTACCACCTATTGATCTAAAAACATATCTGCTTACATTTCTCCTTTATTACTCTGCTTTGACACTATGGGCAAGCCTACATATTTAAAGACAGATAAGTCCCTGAATATATAACCTGTGCTTTTGCACAATTTTGTACTCATTGGAATATAATTTAACCCATGGAATTCCCCCATTCTACCACACGTCTTCATTGAATGAGCACACCATACCCTCAAGACATGCCTCTTAATACAAAAATAAAAAAGGGGACCTATCCCAAAACAGAATACAACTCTTAATTTTTTGAAAATGGGCATAAAATAAAGGATATAAGGGACAATGGGGACTCAGTGAACTTAAAATGTGGTTTCCAATTTTGAAAAGTTTTCTGAGAACTAGAATTTTTTTATATTTGAAATCTCCTGTTTACTTAGTTGTGTTTTCTTTTTTACTCTTAATATGCTCTAATTATTCTTCTTTAATAGAAAAACTGATTTTTATTATTATCATCAATGCCAAATAAGACTTGAAATCAATTAAAATCTTTCATTAAGCATAAAATTATTTTCACATTTGCTACAATTATAATAAGTACATTTAATTGTATCAAGGCACAAGCTCTGTTTAGATTTTAAAATATCCCTGACTGCAAGATTATGTATATAATATTCCCACTGTTGCTTATGTAATAGTAAATTAATGGAATTAAGTAACTATCTAGAATAAAATAAATGGAAATAATTTACTCATAAGATTCATATTTAAACCATCTTTATTTACAAAATACTCTTCTAAGAATTGTAATTCTGTTAAGCTTCAATTGGAGCAAAAATATAATCATTTGAGTAAAAGCAGAGATATATTACTTTTGAAGGCAGATCAAAACTATTGTCAGGTTTCTTATTGTGCTTCTGGATGTTCAGTAGCAGGCTCATTTGAGGGTGGAATCAACCCTGAAGGGAACTCACTTCTACTTTCAGAATGCAGGGGAGAAAGAAGGGGGAAATTCAGCTCTTGGGGGAAGATAATGAGGAAAAAACCACGGTCCCATTGGGAATGGAGGGCGTGGTGGGCCTGGTGGAAAATATTCTCGAGATGCTCCATACATATTTCTTGGGGGAGGTGGAGGAATAAAAGGTCCTCTTCTCATGAACTGACACTTGGATCCACTGGAAACAATGGACCTCTGATTGCAGAAGGATCTTTTTCTACAAGTTTAAATTCAAACTCATTTTCAGTTAAGTTTTGTCTGTCATGAGCATTTTGTTTCCTTAAATCATTGAGGTATCTTTCAGCACTCTGAGCTGCCAACTCATTACCATGTGCTTTCTTCTCACAGTACATAATCGGCCCCTGATAAGAATGAATGGTTCTCTCCAATTCTTCTTCAAGGTCTTTGACTTGCTTTCTATAGGTCTCCAGCTGTTCAGTTGCATGGCTGATGTTTTTCTCCATTTTGTAAAGTTTCTCTTCTCGCTCTACCGGGTAATTTTCCTCTCCTATTAATTTCCTTTGGAGTTTCATTACATTTTCTTGATGTAGTTCAATCATGACTTTGAGATTCTGCTGAAGATTCTGATTCTCACCTTTAAATTGTGTATTTTTTGACTGCAAAGATGCTTGTTCTGTCTTAAGATTTTTAATATGTTCTATAAGGTCTTCCTTTGTTTCAATTAATTCAGAAAATAAAGTAAAAATTTGATCTCTTTCTCCTTGTACAACACTCTTCATTTCCAATTCCAAGTTACCATCATCTGTTAAGACTTCTTCAAACACAGAAGCCCAATCTTTCATCTGCAGCAAATGTTCAGTCAGAGACTTAATGTGGTTTTCTTTATCTCTTAGAACTTGTTCTGCATGTACTTTGGAGTCTTCAAGTGTTTTCTGTTTATTAAGGCCCTTCACTTTTTCTTTCAATACTTCAGCTTCATATAAAAGCTGTTTCTGACTTTCCTGAAGTTGGGAATTTTCATTCAAAGTCACTTTTATTGCTACTGTAACTTCTTCTTCATTCATTTGAAATATTCTCAAGGCTGTTTTAGCTTCAGGTATTTGTGATTTGACGGATTTTGATTCATCTTCTAGGGACTTAATCCTTTTTGATATATCCACCATCAATTCATCCTGTTGAGAATGTTTAGTTTTCTCTTCTTTTCACTCTTTTTCTAGAAGGAGTATCTCATCCTCAAGTTTAGATATGGACCTATCCAGGTTTTCATATATTGCTTCCGAATTTTCTGCTTCTATTGAATCCTTCACCAAAATGGCATTCTTTAAAGATGACTCTAAGCCTTCATAGTCTTTTTGAACAAGGCTAACTTTTTCAAGTAGTTCACATTTTTCTTCAATTAGTCCAGAAAGTTTTAGAGCAAGCTTTTCTTCTCTTCTCATGTAATGCCTGCTTCTCACAGACTGATAACTTCTCCAAAAAAACAAGAGAACAACAAAAAATCCAATAGCTGTATCACCAACTCCCATGGACAGCCATAAAGACTAGGGTGTGTTTCCATGTCTTCAGACAATGCACACCACAACCCTGCTTACTTCTTCCAGGACCACCCCCCATGTAGGGATGAGGGGCAACCATTGCACCTCCATCACACTAAGGTTACTTTGGCTATTCCCTCCACAACTACACCATTCCCAGACATGCCAAAACATACTGTGGACTCTCAGGCCTTTGGTCAGGAACAAACCTGCACCAGGCAACAGAGCAGACCATTGTGAGCCAGCAGGTGGGGGTGAAGGGGCTTTGAGCATGGGCATGGGGAGCCCTGGTCATGGGCTCCCAGTGACTTAGCATATTCACGCTGCCTGTCAGGGAAGTCGTGGACCCTTCACTATGCTGTGCATCCTGAAGCAGCACAGGTTCAAGCCTGTCTCAATCAAGCCAGAGAGGAGTCCTCTCCAGGTCACCCACTGGTTGGTTTGGTTTAGGCCAGGCCAAGGCAGAACTTATGCCATTCTATACACTCATAATATCACCCAGTTTGATGTAACTAAAATTCTAAAGCTCTGTAAAATTTTTAAAGGGCTAATATGTCATATATTTATATTTGTACCACTTGCTCTTTTGTTTTAATGACTCATTCCTTTCTCTCCCCTCCTGTCCCCTCTCTTTTTCCTTCCTTCCTTTCTTCTTTCTCTCTTTACCTTTTCTTCCAGTGTTGGGAGTTAAACTCCAAGGCCTTCTACATGCTAGGCAAGCTTTCTACCACTGAGCTTCATTCCCAGCCCTGTTGACACATTCTATAGAAGTAATATGAATTATTTCTATAGGAAAAACTAACCTGTTAAACTATTTTAACAGTAATTTTAGAAGAGTTTCTAACATGGGCACAAATAGTTATAACAAGTTACTTTAAAAAAGTACAGTATATGTAATGTTTCTAAAAAGAAGAAGCTTAAAACTTCAGATGGTTTTCGTGTCAGTTTTTCTAGACTACTATTTAAGAGTCTTCAAAATCTTTTTTCAGATGTTATTTTCTTTTGACTTCTCATAGAATGTAAAAATTTCTAAGTTGGCTGGTCATTATAAATGTATAGAAAACAGAAGGATATGATATGACTCTTTGAAATGGATTTAGCTTCTGAAGGTGAATTATGTTTTTGTTCAGATAAATAGTTCATTGCTTGATGTAAATAAAGGACATCCAATTTTTTTTTCTTCCTAGTTATGCTTAATTGTTAATAAGCCAGATCTAATGTTTGAATCCTATTGGATTTTGAAATGGCATGGTGTGGTTGTGGAGGGAATAGCCAAAAGTAAAAGAAAATTTGATAGCATATCAAGTAATAATAAGATATTGAACCACACCTAGCTAAAAAGTGAAGTCTGGGGCAATTACCTTTGAGACTTTCCACTCTGCGACATGGGCATCTGGTCTGATCACTTATTAAATGTGAGAAAGTTTTGCACCGTTCATATCATCATTATCTAGATCACCAGAGATGATGATGACAGATGCAGTACCCCATGTGCTTCCGAAACATTTCCAAATTACAGTTATCCGTGCACTTTCCCACAATTTGTAATTTCATTTCCTATGAAAATTCTAGTACTGAACAATTTTTTCTTTGTAAAATGCAAGCATTGTGTTGTAGGAAATCAGTAGCATCCTATATTTAAAAAATAGTAACCTAGGTGTGGTGGTGCATGCCTCTAATCCCAGTAGCTCAGAAGGCTAAAACAGAAGGATTGTGAGTTCAAAGCCAGCTTCAGCAAAAAGCAAGGTGCTGAGCAACTCAGTGAGACCCTGTCTCTAAATAAAATACAAACTAGGGCTGGGGATGTGACTCAGTGGTAGAGTGCCCTTGAGTTCAATTCCTGGTAACCCTCTTCCAAAAAAAAATAGATTAGTGTTTCCTTTCAGACACGTTACCCTAAGAAATGGGTTACCCTAAGAAATGTTCTCACTGCTCCAGGTGTAGGATTCCTGAATCAACAGCACCCAGCAGAAAGGCTTTGGGCAATGCACCCCACAGACTTAGAGGGGACATGGGTCATGGACCTCAGGGATCAAGGGCAGAGACGATCCCAGACACATACTAGAGTAGCTCCATTTCTGCTATTCTGAAACTGCCATCCCTTGTCCGGGTGGTAAAATCTTTTATAGTTAAAAATCTCCCATTATTTTTTTCTGAAGTATGTTATAGATGGTGGAATGATTGGTATAAAAGTCAACAGTCCTCACAGATACTGTCACTAGAGTCAGAAAACTAAGAGGCCAATATACATTCCCTTGCTGAAGGCAACGCCACTAAGGAAAAGAACTGAAAACAGTGTAGACCCTGAACTTCAACTTGCAACTACTACCACCCTCCCCACATTGCTGCCAAGCACTATTTTCACAGGAACAATTGCCGGGGTCCTGCCCTAGCAGGGTCCAGGGAGTCCTGAAGGATGAGTGGTGTAGGCGAAAAGATGAGACAGGAGTTGTTCCGTTCGAGCAATCTCCAGAGAGAGAGCTAATGCAGCTTTCTCTGGGTCATCTTTTATTACAATTTTTCTCATCATTATAGATTCAGAATACGTCATTGATTATATAATTTAAAACTTTGCCAAGACATGACATTTCCTTAACCATGATTGGGGGTACAAAAAATGTAACATTAATTTACATTTTTCCAGGATATGTCCTTCAGTTATGTAATTATTAAAAGTACAGAATCATTAATAAAATATGTCACTAATTTACATTTTTCAGATTTTCCCAAGATTTACTATTTTTCCCAAGATATTCTATTTTCTTATTAACTAATGCCAAACTACATAACCAGACTCTAAGTCTCCTAACCAATCATTAACCTAAAGTACACTTGTACTTTATTTCTAATCTAAAATTCCCATCTAAAAAAGTCCCTTTAAATCTTATATTTAAAATACACTAAAGTTTATGAATCATTCTTAAAACATATCAGAAACCTATACAACTAAAAACTTAAGAATTTCTAAACTTAAGAATCTAAATAAAATAATATTTCTGACATTATTCTAAAACTGTGTCTTATAAAGCTATTTTAATTAATTCCTAAATTTATTCTCATAAAACTGGTTGAGCTGCTTTCTCAAAGAGTTTCTTTGTTTCTCAGTCAAGGTGCACTAGTTCTCATATCTTTATAATCTTTTTCAATAGAAAGTAAGTTCTAAACATCAATCCACTTTCCACCAATATTAACTATGCTCATCATATATCCCTATGTAAAGTAAGAAAGGGTTTATAAAAAGAGAAAAATATGTCTTTATATGTTTTAACTTTCCTAAATGTAAAAATGAGACTACATGTGGTGAACTTTGTAAAATAAGCATACTGATTAGGTTTTCTAAGAGGCCGGAAATATGGGCTTGGGTTCTAGTTGATATAATCAACGTGGTGCCTAAAATTCTCATGACCTTTCAAAGGATGATTGTTGTTCATTATCAGGTTTGTCCATAATGTACTGAGATAGAAGAACAGCCTTCTACTTTGTCCTTGGTATGCTGAGGGGTAGTAGAACAGCCTCCAAGGCATGAACTACCTGTTATGTTCTAGCCATCTGAAATTTAATTTGTTTGGCATTTAACATACTCATGCCTCCTGTCAGAAACATAAACATGAAAATGAAAAGTCCCAATTACATAAAAAAGGGTCTCATGGTTTCGGTTTCCCACCAACCAGCTTGGCTTTGCCAGCATTCATCCTCATTGTGACCCTGTCAAGACAGTGGGAGAGCGGCTTTGCCAACACTTTTTCTCACTGTGACCCTGTCAAGACAGTGAGTGGGGGATCACCTTCACCAAAAAATAAACTAGAAGTAGACACATATTGTTTAAGGGGGAAAAAACAAAACAAAACAAAACAAACAAACAAACAAAAAACAGAAGGGAAGATCCCCAGTTTAACAATAAGAGGGAGGACTAGTAACAGCACCCCAAGAATAAGAACAGAAATTGAAGAAAAGAGCTCCAGGTGATTTCAGCCCCAAGCAGAACAGGCCCAGGAGGTAATTTCCCAGATGAGCAATGAGACAACAAAGGGCACACTCATTGCCTGGGAAGCACTGAAAGCAGGACATTGCTTAATGTCACAAACTAAATGCAAGTCCCTTCTGTTGAAGGAAGAGATGGGGAAATCCAGTATTTATTCCTCTCTCCCATAAACCCAGGACCACATGAGTCTATGAGAACACAAAATAATGTCCAGGATCTGGGGTCCAAGACTTTCACCATCTTCCAGTGATCATTTATAAGTCCAATTCTTTTTTTTTTTCACATAATTTTTTTATTTGTTCTTTTTAGTTACATGACAGTAGAATATATTTTTGCCATATTATGCATACATGAAGTGTAACTTATTCTAATTAGGATTCTATTATTTTGGTTGTACATGATGCAGAGTTACCCTGGTCATATATTCAAATACGAGGATAGGAAAGTTAAGTATGATTCATTCTACTGTCCTTCCTATTCCTCTCCCACCTCTCTTCCTTTCATTCCCCTTTGTCTAATCCAAAGACTTCTATTCTTCCCCTCCCCAACCTCCCTTCTTATGGGTTAGCATCCACACAAATTCTTCACAGAAGTTTATTTGAAGAATAAGACCTCTGCACCAGAAAGGAAAACTATTCTAGAATGGTGATTCAGGTGGAAGTTAGCTTCCACAGTCTCATGGAGAATGTTCTGCCCTGAATACCCACTTCAAGATCAACAACAACAGTATCCAGGTGACCTTGTGCATCAGTCCATTGCTCTTCCTCACATTGCTCTTCCTCACTGTGTCTCAGCCTTCAGGAATAGCAGGAAGAAAACTGACACTTACTGAACAAGAATAGAATTTTATTTGATGAAGTCAATTTTATTTTATGTAAAAGGAAAGGGACTCAGAAAGATTAAAGTAACTTCCCCAACAGTGAAATCAAGAATTGATCATAGATACCTCTGACTCTAGAGTTCCTGTTCTTCCCACCAAGCTAGTTTCTTCACTGTAGCTGAGATGGCCGAATTTTTATAAAATATTCCAATTAAGAAAAAAGCCACTGTAAACATTATCTTAATACCTCTAGAGATCACTTTTAAATTGATATGAATTATATGCTCTCTACTATGACACCTATGCCAG